GGGCGGCTGCCGGCTGCTGACCAGCTCTGTCCCCTGGCCCGCCCGCTGGTCGGAGGGGCGCGCGGGGTAGGCGGACCAGGGCTCCCGGCTTGGCTGAATTCCGTGGCCCGGGCAAGTTTGAGCTCTGAGTTTTTCGGAGAAAAAGGTGCTGGACAAGACATTGATCATCCTCTTTATTATTTTGACGACTTCTCCTCCTCCTCCTGCCGACCCCGGGGCGCCCGTCCTCCCCTCTGCCCCACGGAAGGCAAGCGGCCGCCCAGGTAGCGGGGTCCCGGGCCGCCACTGCTAGACCGTTTCCCGGTGGAACCTGCAGCCTTCGAGCCTCCATCCTTGACCACCGAGCGACCGCCAGGGTGGGGGCCTCGGGAACCGGGTTGGAAGCCCCGAGGGTCCTCCGCCTGGGTCTGGAGGCGCTGAGACCGCAGCCAGAACCCGCGGCCCGGGCTGCGCTGCTGGGCCCTCCGACTGAGCCCCTCCCGCGAGGAGCGCAGAGCCACGGACTCGCTGCGGTCCGCTCGGTGGGGAGCCCGAGACCCCAGCTCGGGGCCGAGGAGGGCCGCAGAGGGCAGCGTGGAGTGTGGCCAAGGCCTCGGGCTCCTCCTCGGCGAGGCGATGCGTGTGCTCGGCCTCCCGCCGGGCGGAGGGGGCGGAGGAAGCGGCTCCGTGGATTCCGGCGGCGGCGGCGGGAAACCGCTGCTTCCTCGGGGAAGCCGCAGCCCTGCGCGGGCGGTCTCGGAGGACGCTCCACGGAGCCGCGGTGGAGACCAACTGTCGCGTCGCCGGCCCTGTGCGCAGGACCCCGCCACGCGGGTGCCGTGCTCACCTCGCAGGGACACCCCAGTTCTCTCTGAGCCCGGGCTCCCCTTCCGAGTCTCAGAGCATCCAAATTCTTGGGGTATCTGAGCGGGCAGCGCTCCTGTCCCGCATCCAGGCGTGCGTTTCTCTGGTGCCAGCGCGGCTCAGTCCGTGCCACCCGAGCGCTCCCACCCAATCACTCCAGCGGCCCACGGCTGGCTCTGGGATCCCTGCTGGGACCGGGCGCGGGGCCTGGAGAGGGTACCCTCCGCACCCCAAGCCCCCTTGGAGCCA